GGCTGAGCCGGAATCGGTGGGGGAGAGACCCTCGAGCACGGCCGTCCCCCGTCCAGGTGTCACGGGGCTGAGGCTGGAGCCGCCATGAAGAGCCTGAAGGCCAAGTTCAAGAAGGTGGACGTGAGTGCCATTCCCAGGGACATGGGGACTTGCTCTGGGATGTCCATGGGGACGTGGGGTCCTGCTCTGGGATGTCCATGGGGACATGTCCTCAGATGACCCAGGTTTCACAGGGACACAGGGACCTGCCCCGGGATGTCTATGGGGACATGGGGACCTGCCCCAGGATGTCCATGGGGTCCTGTTCCGGGATGTCCCAAGTTTCACAGGGATGTGAGGACATGGGGATCTTCCCCAGGATGTCCCCAGTGTCACAGGGACATGGGGACGTGCCCTGGGATGTGGGGTGGCTGCTCACCATGGGGATGGCAGCCCCGTGGAGGTTGGCACTGCCACCCTGGCTGGTGGTATCGAGCTCCCAGAGCACCCAAGGGTGCTCCCAGGGCCATTGCTGGGAGCGGGGCAGAACAAAGGAAAAAAAGGCAGCGCCAGGGAGAGGGAAACAGGTCGCAGGTCCCCTCCCTGTCCCCTCCCTGGGGACGGCTGCCAGCTTTCCAGCTGCCACAGCCAGCAGAGCCGGCATGTCGATGCTCCTCAATTATTCAGCACCAGCCTGGCAGGGTGCCGCATCCTCCGCATCGCATCGGGCAGAGGGTGCCAGTGCTGTCCCCGGTGCCCATGGCAGCACTGGGCAGACCTGTGCACTGGGGACACATGGTTGGGGACACATGGACACGGGCTGAAGCCCCCCACGTGGAGTCTGCAGGCCTGCCCTGCTTGGGGTGCTCCGTGCCTCAGTTTCCCCACACTGCCCTGGACACTTTTGTGAGTGGGGAGGAGTGAGAGGCTCCTGCTGCCCTACTGCCTCTGGGGCTCTTCCAGGGACCCTTTGAATTTTGGGGTTCCCTCCTTGAGGAGAGTTTGCCGCACCCCGGAGATGCAGGCAGGGGGTCCTGCCCCTCCCTTGGCCCCAGGGCTGTGGCGGGAGGGAAGCCTGTGCACCCCAGGGCTGGGGGACCCACATCCCTTCCTCGGGGAGCAGGATCTGGGTAGCAGGAGGATGCTTATCCCCTTGGTTTGGGGGTGCATTGCTGCCTCAGCTTGAGCATGGGGTGAGAAAGCTGCTCCCCCCACCCCCAACGCTTCCCGCTTTAACTGGGACCAGCCTGGGTGCTGGTCCCTGACTGGGACCTTGGTACCTGCTCGGTAGCGGCAGGGGGGGGGGGGGGGCCGTTTTTTTTTGCCCGCCGCCTCCTCCTCAGCACCATGAAGCAGATCTGCCTCTGTGCCGCTGCCTCCTTCGCGGTACGTCCCTGTCCTCCATCGCTGCTCCCCCTTGGTCCCGTCCTCCGGGGTAAGCTGTGTCACCCCCACCCCACCTGGACCCCCTCCATCCCCATCCCCGGCTTCGTCCTTTCCAACCTGCTTTGTCCTTGCATGACAAGGGTACGGGGGGGAGCGGGCACCACCCTCCCAGTTTGCCCAGTAACCCTGGGAGACTGGTTTATTCCCCACCCTTGGACGGGGTCCCCTGGCCCCGGAGGGCTGGAGGGGCTTGCAGGGGCACCGGGCAGGCGTGGTGGCACTGGTCCGGTGCCCGGCACTGGGCACCAGGCTGGCGAGGGACAGGACGCAAGCGGCTCCCGAAAGGTGACATCCATTTCCTGCCACCGCGGCCGCAGCGAGCTCCGGTTTGTCGTCACGGGCTGCGGGGTGAACCCAGGGCTTCCCGTGCTGATCCTGTCCCGCTGTGGGTCGCTCCCTCGGGAGGGGGACATGCAGGACCATTGGGCCAGCAAGCCCCCCCCATCCAGCCCCGATCCTGCGCAGGATTGTGCCCTGTAAATCCCAGGGAGGCTGGGGCCATCTCGGGGGAACTGGTCTCGCTGTGAGCTGTGCTCGCCCTGCCTTGGTCCCGTCCTCGGTGGGGAGCAGCGCAGGGCTGGGAAGGGGCTCGGTGGAGAGACCTGGGCAGGGATGGGGCTCGGGCACCTCCTGGGTGCTGGCCGTGTTTAGCAGGGGGATCACTGGGATGGCAGGGACAAACCCTGGGGCAGGGACAAGCAGGCAGTGTCGGCTCGCTCCCAAATCCTAGCTGGTCACATCCTGTCCCATGCATAGCTGAACTGGGGCAGCTCTGTAAATCTCCCGGTCTGTGAGCTGCAAACTGGAGATGGGGGGGGGCTGAAGGGGATCCCCCCCCCCAGTCAGCTGGCCCAGCCACACCACCCAGTCAGCTGTCCCAGCTAAACCCTCCATACCTGGGGCAGATGCCACAGCACTGGGAAAGGGGGTGGCCCAAAGATGGCCACCCCAGGGGACAGGGACAGTGGAAGACAGCAGGGATGGGGGTGAGGACAGGCACCAGAGCCCAGCCCAGCACCCTGCCTGTCCCCGGGGACGGCGCAGCCATCACAGCCTCCTCTTGGCTTCATTGTAGAGCCAGGACTGGACAAAGAATGATGAGAAGCTCCTGCAAGCTGTGGACTACAACGATGCCGGGAGGGTGACATCTCTCCTCGTGCGCAAGAGCCTGGTCCCCACCAAGCTGGACTCGGAGGGCAAATCCGCGTAAGTGCTGACCCACGGCCCGGGACACCGGGGACGCAGGGCTGGGGACAAGGCTGGGGGCCGGGGACGTGAGTCCGACAGCCCCTGGTCTTGCTGCAGGTTCCACCTGGCCGCCATGCGAGGGAACGTGGACTGCCTGGAAGCCATGCTGGCCCACGGCGTGGATGCCATGACCAAGGACAGCTCAGGTGAGGGCATGGCTACCACGTACCCCCGGCTGATGCTGTGGACCACCCAGGGCCACCAGCACACCCTGGTTGTTCCCACCCGCCGGTGGGTGTTGAGGCTGAGGGGCCAGAGGTGACGGCCACAGCTGCAGGGGCTGTAAATTGTCCCACTTCCTACGGGAACTCAAGCACTGAGTGATGGTGCTCCTGGGGTGTCCCATTCCCCCTCAATCCCAGTCCAGCAGATCCTCCTGTATGTCTGTCCCCTAACTGGTCCCCTCTGCCACAGACCCACTGCCTGACCTCTGACCTGTCCATCTGTCCCTCTCCCCAGGTTACACTGCCCTGCACCTGGCATCCAAGCATGGCCACCCACAGTGCGTCAGCAAGCTGTTGCAGGTACCGGGGCCGGGAACACGGTGCTGCGAGGGAGGATGGGTGCTGTGCCAGCGAGGGGTCCTCTGTCCTTGAACTCCCTTCCCTCGCCAGTGGTGCTGGTTGACATGGTGGTTCCTGGCACCTGCTGGGCCCTCTGCCGTGCCCCAGAGCCACGTCCACTCGAGCAGTCTGTCTGTCCCCTGTCCTCCTGTAACCCAGGCTCTCTCCCTCAGGCCTCCTGCCCCGTGGATGTGGCCGATGGCAGCGGCCGAACAGCGCTGCACCATGCAGGTGAGTGGGGACGGTGCCAGCCCCGTCCCACTCATGTCCCAGCGGGACGCAGGTCCTCAGCCTCTGTCCTTCTCCCCAGCTGTCAGTGGCTGCATCTCGTGCTCGGAGATCCTCTGTGATTTCAAGGCTTCCTTGAACGTCAAGGACAAGGTGAGATCCCTCTGCTCCTCGCCCTGCAATGCTGTGCGGAGCAGCAAGGGGCCAGGCTGGGGCTGCCTGGGAAATGCAGCAGCGTCTGGGGTGGAAGGCAGCCGCTGGCAGTAGCTGGGATGAAAACACACCGTGAACTGGGATGTGGAAATCCGGGAGATAACCGGAGCGGGGTGGCCTGCGGGGGGATCTGAGCTTCGTCTGCGCAGCCTCACCCAGCCTGACCTTGCCCAGGACGGCTCCACGCCGCTGATCGTTGCCGCCAAGATGAGCCACTCGGAGCTGTGCCTGTACCTGCTGCACCGCGGCGCGGCTGTCAACTGCCGGGACCTGCAGGGGAGGTGAGCCTGCACTGGTGGGGACTGGGGGTGGACGGGGAGACGGAGGGGATGGCCCCCTTCACCTCTCCTCTCCCCACTCTGCCCAGGACCGCCTTGATGCTGGCCTGCGAGAACGGCAGCGTGGAGACGGTGGAGGTGCTCGTCAACGCCGGTGCCCGGGTGGCCATGGTGGACTCCACGGGTCACGACGCCGCGCACTACAGCCTGGCCACGGGCAACGCGCTCATCCAGCACTTCCTGCAAGAGGCTGCGCAGCGCCAGTCCTGGGCCAGCGGTGAGGCAGCCCTGCCCCCCTGGTGCTCCTTGTCCGCGGGGAACCCCCC